TATAAGTAGCTTAGATTTAAATTCTGAATTACAAATGTGAGTATGACAACAACATGAGGATTCATCCTTTTACCTCAGTAGTAACCATAGCCTGCGCTAAGAGCCTTTGAGTCTTTGCCTCGGAGCGTTGTCTGTCCAAAATATAGCTGTGGCCTCTGAACCTCAAAACGATTCCTTTCTATCGTTCTAGCAATTCAACGTAGGTTCCAGGGAGAAAAAGAAATTCTGCTTCTCTGCAGGGTGGGTCCTTTCTGAAATAGTTTAGTTGTTTGTTTTCTTCCCAATGTTCCAGGAAACATTCTTATTTTGGAGCTTCCAATCAAGGATATGCCCGATGGCTCCCGGCAGAGTATGAGGATGGAGTGTCTCTTCCCAAAGGATTCACCGAAGGAAAACTTTACAATGGATTTCCGCTCCCACTGGTACGAGACTGTGAGATCATTTGGTTTCTTGTTTAATCAATGACTCCCATATTTCTCTCCATGACTGGGGGGAAGTGCTCTCTGGGCAGAGGCCCAGGCCAGGCTACCGCACCATTTAAGTCTATTTTGAGGGCACATGTGAAGCTTAAGCCGTACATATGTCTTGCGCTGGGCTGTGTTGCTTGGAGCACTCCACACACCTTCATCCCTTGGCAGGTGCAGGGAATACATTCACACCGAACAGCATTTCTGTTACCCTCCTGTGAAGAAGAAAGCGCTCAATGGATCAACACTTTGAAATTTGTACTAAGAATCAGTCTCACTCTGTGGTTTTAGCAACCAGTGGCTTGACTAGATTAAACTCAGACCTGTATATAAGAAGTGGTGGGACTAATTACTCAAGCTTTATTACTTTGGCCTAATAATAATGTGGCCTATCGGACTTTTATCCCTTTCACTTGACAGATTTTTAAAGGATAAATACCTAGCACCCCTTTCTCCATATTCATTATAGGTGGCTCAGTTTCAATGCCTAAAATTCAGGTCACCTGGTCCTTTCCTCTATTTTCAGTTGCTTAATATTTTGATATATTTCTATCTGTTTGGGCTTATATTTTCTATGCTTGGTCTCTGAGTCAGGTTAATCATTGAACAAAGAAAACATTGAACAAAAATAGTTCAGCCATTTCAGCGAACAAAGTTAGTGGAAATATATAGTTTTGGCAATAAACAAATGTTTCTTCTTTCCTATCTTTTAAAAATATATCCAGCACCCGGTGAGCTAGGAATAGGTTTGGCAGAGGATAGAACTCAGGTAGCTGACCCAGACATGGCTAAGTTACATGCAGCAGAAAAACCACCATTTGCATCTGAACAGTAAGACTCGGTAGATCCTTGCTCATTTTCAGAACAGTCTAATTTAGGGTGACCAGACAGCAGATGTGAAAAGCTGGGACAGGGGGTAGGAGGTAATAGGAGCCTATATAAGAAAAAGAGCCAAAAATCAGGACTGTCCCTATAAAATGGGGACATCTGGTCACCCTAGTGTCACTGCACTGGGCATACTAATGACCTGCAGTGTATCTCCTGCATTGACTCATAGCCACACCACAC